AGTAAATAAAAATAAAAATTGAACCTATTTCCCTTTGGTTTCTACTGTTCATATTTTTTACCTCCCTTTTCTTGATTGATTAATTAATTAATTATTTCAAGTGGTTTGTTTCCATTTCCAACAACTTTTTTATTTCTCAAAATTTAAGTCAAAACTCGCTTTACAAAATCATTTGCTTCTCCTCAAAGATAATAAAAAACAGTCTCTTAGGAAAATAGATTATTAAACATGTGTTTTTATTTTCATGCTTTAAATATATGTATATATATATATATGTATGTATATATAAAAGAAGCAAGTTAAAGCTATAGACGGATGAATGTTAGAGATTATTTTGAGAATATTGGTAGCGTAATCGTTAATTACAACTTAAAAGGGAAAAAGATACTACCAGTCCATGGAAAATGTGACTAATCTCATGATTAAACCTTAATTAATCACAAACCAACGTCTTAACTTTTCAACCAATTATTTAAATTTCTCCTCTTTTAGTAGTATCACATTTATGCACGATATATATATATATATATTTATTTATTTTAATATTTTTATTGCTTTTTCGATGCAAGAAAAAAATAATAATGCAGCTTTGAATTTAATTTAAGGATATTATGATTATATAATGGTTGGAAAGTAACATTAAAATTTTTATTTAATACAGGTGGAGGAGGGAAGGTGATATTTTCCTATATTTATATTTGTCTTACAATTTTCTTTTCCAATGTGCAATTAATTATATACCTAACCCTCACTGATTTATATATATAACTGTAAGGTAAATATAAATATAGGAAAATATGACCATCTAGTTGAGGGTATAATGTTTATTATATTTTGCTTTAAAAATGGAGATATATGTACATATACATTAATTATATAATACGCCACAAACACATTTTTAAATTGCATGGTATAAATTTTTGCTGGGTCAGCAGATTCTCAAATATTATTATTTTTCTAATTTTGGTAAATGGCTGGCAGAAAAGATGATATGGATCTGTCCAAAACATAAAATAAATACTAACCAAGTATTGATTAATAAAAGAGATAATAATATAATAAAACAAAAACAAAAACAAAAAAAATTCCAAACGGAGACTTCACGGTTGGAGGTCAAATTGGTGAAGTGTACTCCACCTAAGAAGATACATTTCTTGACGTTAAATTGACACCGTTTGCTATATCCATAACTACAACACAAATCCATCGTCATCAAATTCTCATATTTAATTATTTTATTGAGTTTTTTAAATAAAATATTAAGAGTTAATTATGAGATCCAACTAATAATAATAATAATAATATTGAAGATTTGTGTTTGTCATTTGAGAAAATCACTCTTGATTGATATGATATATGATTTAATTAAGACTCCCGAAATTTCACTTGGGAGTAAACGGGTTCTTTTGCATTTACATCTCCTATGCTTTACCAGCTAAACTTTCTAATAATATTTGTTAGTAATCCAATACTTAATATTTTTATATTTTACTTAAAAATTAACAAAATTAAATTTTATTAAAAATATGTAATTTATTATTTTATGAATGCATTATATATTAACAACGATTAATTTTTAAGATTTGATTTAATAATATCGATAATTTAACTTATTAGTATGTAGTATTATAGTAATCAATTTTGTCATACGTATTATTTACTTTTGTTTAAATCAGTTTTTATCTTAATTTTTGATCAAATTAATTTATATATATTTTTTATTAAAAAATTTATTTATTCTATACTGTTAATAAAAGTTTAATACCATTAACTTAGAATACGTGTTAAATTTATTGAGATGTGATATATTTTCATTTGTCTAAATATTAATTATATATTAATTATATATCTAACGTGATACTAAAAGTTCATCCACAAATTAAAAATAACTTCATTAACTAGCTCTATTAAAGTGAGAAATAAATCAAATAACAGACTTCATTAAAAATGATTCTGTTAATTGATTCGGATCTCATGCAACACATAACGCGATATTCAATTTGTACTTGGACCAATAAATTTTTTTTTTTATTTATTAATCAATTTAACATATAATACTATAAGTTAATGATATTAATTGGTATAAATTAAATCAAATTTTTTTTATAAAAGTTTAAAAATTAATTTGACCAAAGCTTAATATAAACAAATGCAAATAATACATTAACCACATTACTACTTTATCCTTGTAAAAATCATCATAAATATTGATTATGTGCTAAAATAAACTAAAATAATTAGAAAATGATATTTTGGCATATAGCTGGGGGGTGGGGGTGGAGGAATACAAATGGGCCTACCATCAACAACCATTACCAAAACGTACCAATATTTTATATTCACAAATATAAATGCATGAGGTGATGAGGTCATATACCATATATGATTTAATATATGGGTTGGTATTGTTTAATCACAAATAATAACCAATTAAAAAGACGACTCATCTATTGTTGATTAAATTTGATATTTAAGTTTAATTGTTGCTTAATTTTGATATTTAATTTTAATTATGTTCATAATGAGTTGAAAATTATAAAGGTATACTCATTTAAAAAAAAAAAGAATTGTCATCTTTTTTCACTTGATTCAGGAATAGAAAAGCATAAATGAGTTTTCCTCCGAGTTGAAACTATATGATTATTTGTAATTTTTAAATATAATTATACTCGCATGTACCATTCATTATAAATGCAGAACAGGCATATATAAAATGAAAAGTGATTTATGTATAAATGGAACTAAAATTATTAGTTGGATTTGAAAATATTTTGGGCCCAATTTATAGTAACAAATAATATATATTTAAAAACTATATAATAAAACACAAGTTAAGAGATTTTATCGGAATAAGAGAAACTAAGACAAGAAAAATGTTTAGTTAATGAGAAATAACCCAAGTTGATAAGCATATTTAGAAGTTTTAATACGTGTGTGCGTATATATTTACATATTGAAATATTATGTGTTGTAGTTGATTAGGTGAAAGGTTGGGAGTATAATCCGGCAAAAAATCTTGAATGGGGACATCCAACAAATGCTCTATCTTTGTCAAAGGGATATTGGAGAGAGCACATGCAAATGAAAAAGACCTCACCTTTTTTTTTTAATCTTTTCACCCTACTTGTAGCTTGTGGAATTATTACATCACATATTGTGATTTCATTTTATCCAAAGTTTTCTTTTTTAAAAAATTATTATATATATGGATATATATATATATATATATATATATGGTAACATGTCCCAAACACAAAAAGAGAAAAAAAGACAGAACAAAACTAATTAACCAAAAGAAATAAAACTTTGACTGGTGGATTGATACAGTGTGGTAGTGCAAAAAGTGGAGATTTTTATAATTGAGAGTGTAATAGATAGAAATGTCGGAATTTTGAATATTCCCTCTCGAAAATAGGGTAAACTATGGTTTTCTTCATTTTTCATTTTCTTGGTAAGAAGATATTTATAACCCTTGTCATATATAACAAATCTTTCACTTTTCTAATATTTGAAAGTAATAAATTTTTATAATTTTATTTTAAAATCGTTTCAAATCACAATCCTTATTAGGTAAAGCTATAATTTTTTTTTTTTTTTGAAACATGATAGGGAATTATGAAAAGAGAGGGCATATATTTGAACGACCATAACAACAAAAATGACAAAGATAAACAATAATTAAAGCTATACATGTTAGGCTACATGCCAAAGAAAAGAAATATCAAACTATTAAGCCTCTGTAAAAATAGTTTTAGAGGTTAAATTTTTTTTTAAAAAAATTAATTTAATAGTGTATCTTATACATGTTTAGACAAAGCTGTAAAGACATGTCATTACAATTTTTCTATCTATTTATTCACCCTAATGTTTATTTTTGAGAATATAGCAGATTTGAGAAGAAAAAAAAAAAAAAGAAATATCTTTGCTTCAAGAATTTGTTCGGGAGGCTGGAGCTATCGTGGACACATTCTAAACCGCCAATTTTATAATTTTGTCTACACTTAAATGAAAAATAATGATAATGATAATAATAATAATAATAATAATAATAATAATAGGCATAAATTTTAAAAACTAAATTTAGGAGAAAACATGAATATTAATATTTTATTTCTATGAATTAAAATATTTAATAAATTAAGCATGCGTTGTTTTTAATTCACAGAGGTGTTTTTGATAATCTCATAATTGTATCATACTTGATTCCAGTATGAATTTGTAAACCAACTTGGCAATTTACATAAAAAAAATAATTCCATCTAAACTACATGTTTTTATATCCTCACATTTCTAAAAAATCATAGCTATATAATTCTCTGGAACAACTAATCTTTATTTTCTTGATAAATGCAATTTATTATGGACATTGATTAATAATCAGCAGTAATTATAAGGATAGCCTGTATTAAATGTTTAAAGACTTTTTAAGTACCTGTGGCTGTGGTTAGCATTGGCCGGCATGGGTCCTCCTGTACCGGTGTGTGACGTGCTTGCTGCAGGGAAAGACATTTAAATCATAGCAGAAGTGGATGAGTCGTGGAAAAGAGAAGAATGTAGCAGGAATACCAGTTTAGTTGCTCCAACCGTCACACCAGTTGATGACTTAAAAGAGAATTCTTTATCCAGAGCTACAAATACACATGTATATTTATATATATATTTAAAAAAAAAAAAAACAAGAAATAACCTATATGAGTACTAGAATAAATGGGACACCATTATTACCATACCCATTTTGGTCTATATCATTTGCAAGAATAAAAATGAGCAAAACCTTTGTTGCCACCTTGGCTTAGTTGGGGTAGGATGATCTTTCTGCTCGGTAATAAAGAAGAGAGAGAGGAGGAAAGTAAGAACGCTAAGTGGTTGAGATGGGATTTAATTGTGCATCTACTTTCTACGAAGAGCAGTTATAATAAATATACAATCATCAAGCTACTCGTTTTGCATTTGAACTGGCACAATCTCTCTCCCACCCCCACTTTGCATTGGATGATGACTTCAAAAGAATCAGTACCATTCCTATGTGTAGTTTAGGATCATACAACAACCATAAATGCCCAACATTTCCCAATACTAGAATCAAGAACAAATATTCGTTATAATGGGGATATCATCATCTAATAATATTGCACAGGATTTTACAGTTAATACACTCTGCAGTTTCGTTAAATGATGGTAAACATGTGATTTAAACTAGTGTTTGTTATTGCCAAAGTATTGCCACAATTTTCTTCACATGTGAGGATACCATCTACCTCATCTTGAAAACATTTGTAATTACGATGGACAAAAGTGAGAGACCTTACCACGGGAAATCATAGGAAATGAGTAATGACACCCTTCAGCCAAAGGAAACCTTACAGAAGCAAGGACCATCAAGAATGTTAACGGATCTTCAAATGTCTTCGACTTCATGATTGTCTGAATATATTTCCTCACTAGAGACATCCCAGCTTGATTTATCAAGCAGTAAGCAGTGGAATTCTTTTCCATTATCAAGAGATATCTCGAAACAATAGGGTAACAAGTCTTGAATGCCACATGTATCTTTGCTAATACGATCAAGGCTTTTTTTGTGATTTGAACTATCCAGTAATTTCCCATACTGATTTCTAGTAGAAAAGGAAGGAATTATGTTTTTCTTCTGGAGAAATTCAGTGGAATCATAAGCAGATGGGTACAGTAACCAATCATCAATTCTGCCACCAGCATCTTTGCTGAAAAAATTTAGAGTCCTTCTGTGATCTGAACTATCAAGTAATACCTTTCTCTGATCTCTAGTAAAAACTGATGAAATTATGGTTTCCTTCTCCGGGATTTCAGTGGTACAGCATGCAGATGAGTGTGATAGGCAGTTACAAATATCACCTGTACCTATTCCACAGTGATCAAGGTCTTTTCTGTGATTTTGACTATCCAGTGATTCCCCGTGCCCATCTCTGGTAAGAAAGGATAAAACTATGTTTTCCTTATGGGAAAAATCAATAGTATGATAAGAAGATGAATACTGATATCTTGGTGAATCAGTTAAGGATAAGCACTTCCATCCCACATCACTATCAAGACTGGAGGAAAAGTCTGCTTCAGTATCAGGATGTTCATGATTCTCCTTGAAAATTTTATTGATAGACCAATGATGATTCTCAAGGGAAAAGGGGATGCTGCCACCCTTTTGCGAGGAACCAAATCTGCATTCTTCAGTCAAATCAATGAAAGTAGATGTCTGTGATAAAGTAAAAGGCGAATCACCTAAATCAAAAGCCACCTCTTTATCTTCAAAAGAATGTTTCCCAAACTCATGCTTGGAATAGCTGCCTGAATAGGATGGCAGTAATGAAACAAGGCTCTGAGAATAACTAGAACATGGAGATGATCCACATAGTTCCCTTGCATCAAAACTTTCAAACATATTATTAACAATCAGATTGTTCTCATCTGTGTCTGAATTTGGTGATATAGGGTATGTGATTAACCCTTTATTCCAACATTTGACTGGTGAGTTCCATGCATTTCTTATCTTTCCAGTACCCCGTTCCAGAAGGAGAGGATGTGGTTCTCTTTCAACCAATGATTCATCCAGATTGTAGAAATTACCTGAATCTTGAAGGCGGTTTAAAGGAAGAGGTTCATATTTTCTAAACAGAGAACAGTCAATGAAATAACTCTTGGCATGTGAGATTGCATGCTTTCCTTCTAACTCACAGCTGGGTTCCCTTGCACTGCAAAGAAGGGTGCTGTGAGCATGATAGGTAGGAAATTCCAAATTAGAGAGACACCCCCCTCCTAACCTGTCCAACCAACAACCTGACAAACTCATGTCCAAGAATGGTCCATTCTCAACTTCGGTATAACTTCTGCCAAAAGGTTGATCAAGTTCTGTCAAGTGAAAATCTGATTCAGGAGAAGCAACAAACTTCGATTCCACTTTCATATCTACCTTCCCAGATATGGGTGCCATGAAATCCTACCAGAGCAATTACTTCGGCTTAGCAACTAAAGTTAAAGAAATAGCCATACCCATTCAAAGAAGTCAATTACAATTTTCTTAAAAAATAAGAGTGCTTACCTTGTTCTCCTTACTTCCAGAGAAAAGCCGACCAAGGAGCAAAGAGACAATGTTGTGCCTGAAAAGTAAGTCCTGAATCCATGTGATGAAGAATATATGGATGTATGAGCGTGTACACATGTTTGTATGTACATGAATAAAAAAACTTAGTAATGATTATCTCTAACCCCTTCGAACAAAGATCATCTGTTTCAGGAAATGTAGTCTTTGTGACCCATTGGTGTAGTCTCCGCCTCTTTTCTGAAAAAACTTCTACGTGCTGAAAATTAACCCCTGGAAATTTGAATTAGTTCTCATTGTGCCATGAAAAGATTTAAATTATCGTACATGCAACATTCCATATTTTCATCTCTTTTATATTTCACTCCATCTTCGTGGCTTCTAAACAGAGAATAATAAATAAGATTGCATAAAAAACTACACCATGAGATCTAGTGTTAGGATGGTTTTGCCCTACGCTTTTCCCTATGCTGCTCATATCTCCAAAGGTCATATACGGTTGCCTCTTATCAATCTCTAAAATAAAAGGAAAATGGGAATAGCTTAGGAAGAACTTGAACACTTGTCTCTGACATAAGCTGAAAATACCAACGTATAACTTAAATATGTCGATTTTTTCATAAGGTTTATTCATTGGTTCAGCTCTAACTGGATGTAGCAGATAAGTAATGCAGATTCCATGACATGAGCATATAGACAGTAGGTCAATCTGGGAACACAAAGATGGTGACCAAACAAGTATGTCAGAGAAAGATCTAAAATGCTTCGTTCCGGAAACACCTGAGATATTTGACTGTCTATCCACCGGCAGTAGGAATGGGTCATAGTTGACATGTGCAGCACTTTTAACAGGCATGAAGGAAATGAAATCTCCATAACCATCTTTTGTTTGTTGATCATTTCTACATAGAACATAAGAAACTCATAATCAAACCCATGCTGAATGTCCACAACGTGTAACCAGCAACTCTTAGTCACAAAATCAAACCAACATAGCTTGTTAACCTACCTCTAGGTTTATCATTGGACCTGAACTTCTTTGATCTGTTTATATCCTCATATGGTAAATGAGATGGAAAGCTGTGGCCTATAATTGCCTTCATGTGATAGCTGGACTTGAACTTCTTTGATCTGTTTTCATTCTCATCCAGTGAATGATTATGAAAGCAGTGACCACCTACACATGCCTTTATGTGCTCATTGGACCTGAACTTCTTTGATCTGTTTTCATCCTCATCTAGTGATCGGGAGTGATCACAGTGGGCCAAATCTGCTTTTAACTTCTTAAAGAATGCATACTCAGAAGTTTTAGGATTATCAGCTGCAAATCACTTCATCATATGAGATGGTTATTGTTACAAACTATTTTAAGACTAATAATTTTTTCAAGATTTTGGAAACTTGAATACCAACAAGTATGACATTATAAGACACTAAGATGAGAAAACACGGACAGATACAAAATAAGAATATGATAAAAAAAAGTAATTAAACTCAAATCTGGCAGGCCAATTTGCAAGGCTGTGGGAGAAAATTAAGTTATTGCCATTACCATCATTATAAACTTTACTCTTTTCTGCTGTTGATATCTTGTTTTGGCCTCTAAACTAAGCAAATGCAGATTAACATACACTAATTTCATATTGATTTCATCAAAGACAGGGCCTTATTATTCAAGCTATGACCAATAAACGGCAATAAATTATCATAATTAGACTTCAGAGATCTCAAAGTTGGAAAACTAAGGAGGTAATTCTTTTTTTTTTTTTTAAAGATAATAGAAGAAAAGGCGAGAAAACTAAGACAAAAAGAAATCTATCTTCATAAATGGAGGTATGGAGCTCAAATTCAACAAAGAAATGAGGAAGGATAACGAATCAACGGCACAATCACTTATCGGAGCATTGGTAATTCATGAAAATTAATTCAAAACACGAGAGATTATCGAGGGATTAAACTGAGAAGTTAAAGGGGGAACAAGATAGAAAATCTTACACGGTCGAGAAATGGCAGGATCGGATCCAATGTCGGTGCCCCGAACTGGCTGAGAAAATCTCGAGCGCGAAGTTGGGTTTTGAACTGTTTCTCCATTGGTAGTTTGAGAATTCCTTCTCTTCATTGCACGTACATTGTGATTTGTGGAAATAATGGAGTTAAAACCCTAGTGGCTCCTGTTCAGTACCTGAGAGACGATTTTGGGTTGTAATTCCATTGATAACCATCTTTGGAAAAAGCGGAAGGAACAATATTGGAATTTTGGCGCCAGGGTCCTCTCCTTGAAGACACCAGGGTCGAGGAGCCATACTTCCGTAACCGAAACGGTGGCGTTTCGCACTAACTGGCCATACGAGGCTGGGCTTACTTTAAATTGGATTGGGCTTGAAATAAGTGACCTAGACTCGTCGCCGGGCTAGTTTGACTTTTGGGTTTGAGAAGAAAATTGAATTGCTTTTTCTAATGAGAGGAATTGAAATGGGAAATTCTAATAATTATAGATGTATATGTATTTTTTCAGACACTAAATGTAACATGTGTGTGTGTGTGTGTGTTTGCACATACATTTGGCCTTGTAAAGGTAATTTCAGACAACAATTTAGAAAACTACCTTTCAATTAAATTTCTAGTTTGAGTTAAAGTTAAAATTTTATTACATACATCCGGATCAGATTAGAAAAAGTTTTAGAATATCGAATCTGAACGTGACTCGATTAAATAAAATAATAATATGGTATAATCCTGCATGACCTATTTCAATATTAAAAATAATAATAATAATCGGGATAAATTTTGACGGATGGTCTTATTAATTTCATTAAGTTGAATTGGTTTTGCCATCCCTTAAAAAAAAATCTATCATTCGGATTTTGCACATTAGTTAAATTGAAATTTTACGTTTTGGGTGAAAACAAAAATGGGAAAGAAGAAAAACCCATTTTGCAAGCAGAAGATATGGCAACCACATTATCCAAAGGAATTTCGGATATGGTGCATACGTGGCAGAACCCGAGTGGAGGAAACGATTCGACAACTCCAGTTTCAGAAGATGAGATAATCCTCTGAGAACAAGAAACATCACAAAACATTTTTAAAAAAATTCATTTTTTTCAAAGCCTCTCAAATCTATCTTCTTCTTCTTCTTCTTCGTCTGTCTTGACTGCCTGCCAAGCTTTATTGAACTCGCAAAGAGTTGAGAGAGACAATGGCAAGTTGCAGCATGGCATCAGCTGCTACTGGGTTTGTACTGACACCCACTGGCACACCCAGTTCAGGCTCGGCTTCTAGGAGCAGCAGCATGGTGTTCTTCTCTTCAAAGCCTAACAACAGCAGGCTTGTCGTCAGGGCGTCTGAGGAGGCAGCAACACCACCACCGGCAGCCGCCGCTGCTACTACCACTGCCCCTGCAGAAGACGCGGCTCCCAAGCCCAAGCCACCTCCGATTGGACCCAAGAGAGGTACCAAGGTGAGAAATCAATCAAAATTATTACTTACCACTTTGGTTAAAACCCAGGAAATTCTTGACTGGCAACTGCCGACTTTTGTGGAAATAGCAGGAAGTTGAGTAAAGGAGATATAAGATGAATCATGTCAATGCATTTAGTATGATGAGATTATTAGAGTAACCAAGTTTCACAATTGACATAAAAACTACTAAATTGAGTGTGGTTTTCATGGTGGGTAACAGGTGAAGATCCTTAGGAGGGAATCCTACTGGTACAACAGCTATGGTTCAGTTGTAGCAGTTGACCAGGTGAATTTCTCTTTCTTTCTCTCAGACATTTATACAAACAATTTGCAGTCATCCTCTCTCTGGGTTTTTTTTTTTTTTGTCTTGAACTTATTGCGTTTTCTTTTTTTAATTTTCGTTTTGAAATGATTGGATTTGGACAGGATCCAAAGACAAGGTACCCAGTCGTGGTTCGATTCAACAAGGTGAACTATGCGAATGTATCTACAAACAACTACGCATTGGACGAGATTGAAGAAATAAAATGAAGATGATTTGATCAATCTAGCTTTGGTTCCATCCTCATCCCTGTCTCTTCTCGCTATAAGAAACTTGCTTTGTACCTGTAACATGTATCATATTATTTTACTCACGCCTCATTTATTATTTCTTCTCTCTTCTCATCAAATAATCTTTTCACGCTTTATCCATGGAAACAGATTGATCGAACTACAACTTGATGAGCTTCTAATTCGTTTCCACTCTTAAAAACTGAAAACTAAATGAATGTTTTTCACACGAGACCAGAGTATCTAATTATTATAATCTAATATAATAAGATTGTTTCTTTAATACTTCTGCAAGGGAAAGAAAGATTGAACAAAAAGCTTTTTGCAATTTATTGAATTCAGTAAAGTAAATATCTATATACACGTATAGATTTTCCAATTACAGAGCCACTACATTAATCAATGTTATTCAGCCTATAATGAGAAAAGATTAAAACTAATTTGTTAGCATTTAACGAATTTCACACACACCAAGTTGACATTCCTCTGGTATGCTCTCTAGTGTCGGCCTCCAGCCGCCATTAATGAAACCTTCATTAATCGTCCGCTCACCGTCAGAAATCTTCTCGTGCTCTCTCAAGCGCTTCAGTTCACTTAGCAGCCGCTCTACAGTACAAGATTCCTCCTGTTCCTCCTCCTTCCTACTGCAACTCAGTATTTGTTTCAGCTCTTCTCGAGTCATCACAATCCTGACCCGGACAACTCCATTATCAAATATACTAGCTCCATTAGCATTTTCCTCTTGCCTTAATTTAAATGCCACCATCTTCTTCTCATCACCGCCTGCTTCAGTTAACGCCTGCTGCTCTGTGATCGTTTCTTGTTTGTCATGTCGCGCCTTGTTATGACCATGATCATGAGCGTCGTCGTCTTCAGCTATAACTCTGTTATTTCTTGTCAAGCAGTTTCCCATTTTTCAGATTGAAAAAGAAGAAAATATCAGAACGAGTTTGAGTGCAAAATAACCACGAACTGAGTCTTATAAATATATATATATATATATATATATATAGAGAGAGAGAGAGAGAGAGAGAGAGAGAGAGAGAGAGAGAGTAGTGGAAAAATTAATCACATGAGGAAGCGAATAATGCGCCGTGTATTTGCAAGATGGGCTGGCTGGCTTTAAGATTCCTTGTAATACCTACGTATATATATATAGCAAATTATATTGACGTACCCATTTGTTATTTGTTTTCTTTTTATTCTTTCCAATATATACATATATTGGAGATAAGTGTAAATAGCCATATCTGTATGGTAACTTATGATGAAAGTATCTGTTAGAAACCTTGGTCATCCAAAAGGCAGAGGCAGATGGCTAAGGTACGTATGTGTATATATAAATTTATTATACGGTAACTGATCATCTTCTATTCGTTGTACATGAACCTTTGAGGAAGCTTTGCTTACTAATAAAGCCAGGTTGGCTAGGTTCAAATTAAAGCACTAATTTCAAATCGAAGCAAGCCAATTGCTGCAGTCACGCAATGTCTGTTGACATCATAACACACGTCCACATGCATGCACAGTAATTGGTGTATCTATATGTCATGTATATACATATATATGTATAAGAAAGGAGAGAGAATTTTCACATTTAGCTTAATGGTCAGTCATTTTTACGCTGAAATTTAAGATCTAATAAAGTTCCCTCTTGACCAGTTAGCATCTCGTATTGTAAAAAGAAGAATATAAGAACAGTTATATGGGACGTGATTAAGCTGATTAATGTGTAATTTGATGATATTGAAAATTACAGGAGAAATATAAAAATTAAGAAGAGGTGGGTAGGTCAAACTAGTTACTTGAGACTACTAAAATTAAAAGAGGTCAAACACATGGGACGGGCAGAAGAGTTATTTGGTGAAGACACGCAAAGGACATCATTAAAGGACAGAGGCCGGTGGGATTCATCCAGCCAGCGCATGTGAGACGATGAACCGTAGGACACCACTTACCTTTTCTTCTGCTACCAATATATATATATATATGTATATACACACACTCTTTATACGTATATTTCTATATATATATATATATACAGTTCAACAATAAGAAGCCTATAGGTAAGGATGTGCTCACACGTGGAATCAGTTTCTCTCATCTCTCACATGGGTTAGGTTGCTCTTTCCTTGCTCTCCCATCATACGTATACATATATAAACACATACTTCAGAAAAATAAAATAAAAAGTATATGTAAACATATACATATATTACATGGGCCACCTTAATTGGGTCATTTGAATCCTATTTCCTTTTGAACTTTTCTCTTTCGTGGACTCATTTCGCCCAAGTCCGGCCCATATTACCCGACCGGGGCGTTCAATTCTGGGTCAGGCCCTTTTCTTAGCCCTCATCTCATCTCTGGAGCAGAATGAGGTTGTGCCGTTTTGCATATGATAAGCCTTTATACATTTCTATATATATATATATATAATCTTGAATTCTTAACAAAATATTCCAAAGGCTTGAGGATCTGCTTCCGGTACATTTCATTGAATTAATAATCAACAATCAGCAGTCACCTTCGTAGTTATGAATTGGTATGTTATATACATATACGTGTATGATCTTAAATTCTTAAATCACAATATTGCATAGCCTCGAGAGTCATGCTTCAAGTGCCCATCAATCCATTAATAATCAACAATCAGCAGTCACCTTCGTACATCTAGAATTCTTCTTTGTCTTTATACAACATAATATTGCAAATACAATAATTTGAGCTGAAGTGATAACAAATAATGGGTTAGTGGTATTTGGTACATCTTGGAAAACCAAACAGAACCTATCAAAATGATTTGGTCTTTGACCGTTCAATTTTTTATTCTGTTTAAATTTGGTCCAAACAATTAACAAAAACCAAATTAAACATATATACACGTATATAGTTAAGAAAATAAAATAGCATATAATAAGTTATCTACCTATTTATTATAAATGACTAAAGTAGATGTATATATCATATATAACTTGTTTTCTTTATTTTTCTAAATAAAAACACATAAATGCTATTGATACATATACATATACATATATATATCTATACATTTTTATTATAATATAATATGCAGAAACGTATATGTATGAGTGTAAAGCATTGCCTTATCCTCTTGTTGTTTATATGTGTGTGTCCATATATATACTAAGAGAATCGGCCAGTTCGGAAAAAAGTTTGGTGAATGTCGTTGTTTGAGAAGAAAGCTCAAGACTATGGTGATGCTGTGAGTTGACGGTAATTAGAAAACTCGTAGGCCAAAAAATCCGACCAACCCATTCAATACCCAATAGATGTATATATTATATATAATTATAATCAGTTTACAATTAAGTATAATTATAATCAGTTTGAAAAAAATTACAATATAAATCATTGTATATTGAAAGCGTTATATTCCAATAAATTAATTATTGTTTAACTAGATAATCTTTGCGTTCATTTATCTATACAAAATATTTTTGAGTATATTATAATGCAAACACCATGCAATCGCTGCCTGCGTAGAAAAAGGACTCTCCACGACTACTAGGTTTTTTTTTTTTTTTTTTCCTGTCCCCACGAGTGATGTTGTGTGTTGCAATTTCTTAAATGATAAAAATAGTTATTATAATATGATTATAATTTTAGACATAAGATTTGATTTTTATATTATTTTATAGATTTTTTGCCCTCAATTTAATATAAAAATTAAAAAATTATTCAATTAACAAAATTTTTTATGAATATAAATTAATTAAATTATTTTTCAAATATATTTAAATTTTAAATAATAAAAAACCAATGTTTAACTAAAACTCACATTGATGAGTAACAAATAATGATTTTAAAAACAAAATTAATAATTACATTCAAGATTGTAATCATGATATATATATATATATATATATTTTAAGTCAATATAATACTATATATATTTTTTTTTCTAAAATAAACTAATAAAAGATACTTTTATAAAATGTATAAAGTTATTTAAATTTATAGTAAATTATTAGTAAAAATTATATCATATCAACATGTACAAAATAATATTTTATTAAAGACTAAATTCCCGGCTAATTTTGGTTCTTGCTAATCCTTTGCCGTATGGAAACTCTTTATTCCAATGCTTTTGATTTTCACCACTCTTTAAACGCAATGCATGTGCATCAAAATCAATTAGGGCAACGAATTTGGAGGGCACTTTATGCCATTTTATTTTTTTTTTGGAATAACTTCTCTTATTAATGGTCTAAAAAATAATGGGAGTACTTTTTTTTTTTTTCTAACTCTAATTCAGTATATTGAGTTTAAATAAAAATTTATTCGATAATTTTTTTTAAAAAAAACCATTTTTATTTAGCGAAAAAGATTTCATATATTTTTATGTACTGTCACTCGCTAATTTAACTGATTCAATTAGTGTTTGTTTAATTTGTACATTTTAACTTTAATTTCAACATTCATACAATATTTTGTAACTAAACACAGTAAAAGCAAAAAGTGCATTTTGAACAGAGCAAAAACCAAAATCTACATTTAATAAATATAAGTGCATAAATTAAAAATACCTTGGAACGGTAAATATCTTTGTTCCATAAGTTTGTTAGTTGTAGTGATTAATTATACGTATTCCATAAGTTTGGCTTTTAGCAAAGCTCACTTCATATTTTTGTGACGCAATGCGTGACGCCATATCATATCAGCTTAGCCCCCCCATCAAATGGCCTTAAATCAATTTCTTCTGCTGGGTTCCACATTCCACCAACGTATTTAAACAGGAGTACACGTTCTTTGATTAAAACAAAAAAACAAAATTCATAAATGATAATTAAAATAAAAATTTAAACAAAATATTATGAATTCTATTTATAAATTGCAACAAATTTTAAAATATTTTGTAAATTCATAAATTATAAATTAAAAACAAACATCTATACCCACCAACATTATAGTTCTAACTGTTTACAATTCAAATTTATTATTATTTTTAATTATTAAATTAAATAAATTAACGTTATAGACATTAGTGTTAATTATTGTTTCCACTAAACTTCTTTTAGCTTGAAATTGACAGCCCAACATAAAAAATTGTACATTTGTATTTTGCCTCACTTTTATGAAAACTATACATCTATACACACACACACATATATATATATATATCATTTTCATATGTATCATTTTCTGGTGCACTTATGGTTGATAATCAATTTTTTTTTATGGTGCAGATACATGAACTCATTTTAGTCACTAGTACAACAAGTCTGAGGATAATGACTTATTTTATGTGATTAATAATGCCAGATGTTAATCTTGTACTAATGAAGAAGCACAAGATGATGAAAGCATGTTACGAACTAAAATTAGAAAACTATATTTAGAATAAATTTAAAAAATTAATTTATAAATCATTATTTAATTTAATTAAGAATCATGCGACTTCTGTCAAACATTCATATATATATATACAAACACATATGTATAATGAGCCTTGTGATACTGGTCTATCAATCTAATGGGAAGAGGATAAAATCAAATGTAGATGTTATGTGTCCTCAACTTTCCTTCTTAAGTTCAGAATCTTACTAATTTGAATTAATTTGGAATATATTTATTGCATTCTTAATTTTTCAGGATATTTAAACTACTATTTCATTGTCTTTTATATATATTAGCATGCTAATTATTGTTCGATAATGTTATAAAATTTAATTTAATTGTTTTTTATAATTAAATATTCAAAATTCAACAGATATGAGGATTAAAAATCTGACCAAGTATATTTATATTACAGACATAAAGCTAGAGTTTGTTTCTCACTTTACTACTCTCTCCAACCATCACAAATTCATCATTTACCGAAGCTCTCAAATTTATGGCGTCCGCACAAAACGACACGCAACAGCCACTGCTCCAACCTCCCCCACCATCTTTGCCTTCCCTCAGATCAGTTAGCTTCACGTACGAATCAAGTGGCGAGCTCGAAAACGTGTTATCCGACACCGGCAAGCCCCTCCTTACTCGCCTGCGAAAGGCCTCATGGATCGAAACCAAGCTTCTCTTCGACCTCGCCGCGCCGGCGGTCATCGTCTATATGATCAACTATCTCATGTCCATGTCCACCCAGATCTTCTCCGGCCATCTGGGTAATCTTGAACTCGCCGCCGCCTCTCTCGGCAACACCGGCATACAAATCTTCGCCTACGGTCTCATGGTGACTTATAGATATATCTGTGATTAATTTGTTTGTTACATATGCATGTCAGTGATCTGATGATTGGTTTTTTATTTTGTTGAAGTTGGGAATGGGGAGTGCGGTAGAGACGCTGTGCGGACAAGCATTTGGTGCAGGAAAATTTGAAATGCTAGGCATATTCATGCAAAGATCAACAGTTCTTCTCACCATAACCGGGATTTTTCTCGCCGTAATCTACGTCTTATCCGAGCCAATCTTGCTTTTCTTAGGGGAGTCGCCGGAGATTGCATCGGCAGCGGCGGTTTTTGTCTACGGACTAATACCTCAAATATTCGCTTACGGCGTCAATTTCCCTATACAGAAATTCCTTCAGGCTCAGAGCATTGTGGCGCCTAGCGCATACATATCGACTGCGACGCTGGGCGTCCATCTCCTTATGAGTTGGGCGGTGATTTATAAGATTGGATTGGGGTTGCTTGGAGCGTCGCTGGTGCTGAGTCTGTCATGGTGGATCATCGTGATTGCTCAGTTCGTATACATCATTAACAGTGAGAAATGCAGGCATTCGTGGAGTGGGTTCAGCACGGAGGCTTTTTCTGGGCTTTGGGGATTCTTCAAGCTGTCGGCAGCGTCGGCGGTGATGCTGTGCTTAGAGACGTGGTACTTTCAGATACTTGTTCTTCTTGCTGGGTTGCTGGATAATCCTGAATTGACGCTCGACGCTCTCTCTATCTGGTGAGTAAGAATTATTTAACGCGGCTTCTTTATTGAGCCTTTGATTTTCCTTTTCTATTATATATTATTCTTATTGTGTTTATGCCAGCAAAAACATAATATTAATTTTTTAAATATAAAATCTAAAAATGAATTAATTACATCAGTAATTACATTTAAAAATTAAGTAATAGTTGGTTAGTAAGTATAATTTAATTCTTACTGCATTATTAATTTACATCTCGCCTCCTACTTTATATTAGCATTTATATTTTCTTTGAAAAAAACGTTGAGTTGGTTCCTTTCCAGTTACTTTGTGTTTTAATTAAAATTAAGAATTGATAAAAAATTATTAGTCAATTATTAATTATAATTAATCAAATCAAATTCCATACGTGAGGAGTTGGCAAATAGCAAGGCTCAACGACCACAAGAGTTTGAGAACAATGATATTGAGCTCTCAAACAAACACTGTGTTCTTTTCTTCTTTTTGTGTTTTTGGCTTTGTATATATATATATATATATGTTCATGTGTCTACATATAAATATATAAATATGTATATATATATATAAAGGTGATATATATATACACGTATATATATAAAGCGAGGGTGCAGGATTAGAACAATGATCACTAAGTTTTTGTTATCTATGTCCATGCATGAGAAGTAATATATTTTTTGTATCTTTTTTTTTAGTATTCTAAAAATAAAGGTTCTTTTTTGCTTCAAAATAGAAAATCTATTGCGAACGAGAAAATCTATTCTGCAAATCGGTATACATTATATATATATATATAATCTCAGTCTCTCTCTCTCTCTCTCTCTCTCCCTCTCTCTCTCTCTATATATATATATATATATATTTTACTATCAGTCATGTTTCCCGTTTGGCTTTTTCCGCTTTCTGGTCACGATCGTATCCAACTAAATATCTCCGTGAGTGTATGTATGTATATGGATGAATGTACATAGATATGCAAAAATAACACTATTCCATTCTTATATTTCAAATAAAAATGTGAATAATATATGCGTGTATATATATATATACGCACACAATGTACATAGTTTTTGAAAATCTTGTAAATACATTGTAATAATTTCACTATATATATGTATATATAATTTGATTGTTATATATAATTAATAATACCTTGTTTTTGCAGCTTTACAATATCTGGGTGGGTTTTTATGATATCCGTTGGATTCAATGCTGCAGCAAGGTCAGTTTAATTCCTTCTATTTTCACTTTTCTATATATTATAATTATAATTATTTTGAAAATAATGAGTTTCATATATAATATAACAGTAAATATACTGATGTGAATGAAACAGTGTGAGAGTAAGCAATGAGCTAGGAGCTGGAAATCCGAAAGCAGCATCATTTTCTGTAGTACTAGTGACGATATTTTCTTTCATTATTTCTGTAATCATCGGCCTAATAGTGCTGGCATTGCGAGATGTCCTAAGCTATGTCTTCACCGAAGGTGAAGTTGTCGCCGCTGCTGTCTCCGATCTTTGCCCGCTCCTCGTCTTAACCTTAATTCTTAACGGAATTCAACCGGTGTTATCTGGTAAGATTAGTATTAATTAATTATAATTGTTCAAATTAATGTTACTTAATCGTAATATTCCTCAATTAACCAAATTATATTATGTGAATATTAATCGTAGGCGTAGCCGTTGGTTGTGGATGGCAAGCTTTTGTGGCTTATGTTAATGTTGGATGCTATTATGGTGTCGGAATTCCATTGGGTTCACTCTTAGGTTTTTACTTCAAATTGGGAGCGAAGGTAATTTTTTAAATTACAATTTTACCAATTCTTTATTTGTTTGATGATTAATACTTTTTTCTCTCTATAAAAAAAATTATGAATTTAAATTTAATTAGAACTATATATTTCTGCTGTGGTCATTACAAGTGTGTATAATGAAATATATATCTATTTATTTAGAGAAATAATTTACATTTTTTTTTTTTTTGGGGATCAAAATAGGGAATATGGTCGGGGATGATGGGTGGCACAGCAATGCAAACGCTAATTTTGATATGGGTTACATTCAGAACAGATTGGAAATAAAGAGGTGAGCCCCTAATTAATTAAAAATAATTTCAGTGATTTCTTCCTCTAATTCTTAGTTAATCCATTAATTACAAGTTTATACAACAGTTAAAGTACTATCCCTCATCA